GTTTCTGACCCTATCGATCAGAGGTTCTAACGAGCCCCCTGCTTGAGTTCGAATGATTTCCTAGCAGAAGCCAGGAGCCTCCATGCCACCCTCTCCGTGTCTCCACGTGGTCACCAGCCCAGAAACAAGCCAAACCCCTTCCTTTTGGGGTTTTACGGGGGCTTCGATGCGCAGGCATGATTGATTAAATGGTTGGCCTTCGGTGATCAGCGATCAGTTCAACCTCCAGCCCCCTCTCCCCCGCCCACAGGTTGGGAGTGGATCGACTTTCTAATCACCTGACTCGTTCCCCTGGCAACCATGCCCCGGCCGTCCGGCGCCAGCCCCACCTCATCAGCATAACAAGAGCCAGCAGCCCTAGGTTTCCGGGCTCTGTGGGAGGCACAGGGCGGAGTCCGCTTCATACACTGCGTGCCTTTTTTTTTTTTTTTTTTAACAATATTTGTACATTCTGCGGTGTGATCGGCACCATAAGTCTAGTCAACATCCAACCCCATGCACGACGTTTGTTTCCTTGTGATGAGGACCGTACAGATCCCTTTTCTTCGCGACTGTCACACACGCAACGGCGTGTCACTGACTCTGGGGATGCAGTGTGTGGCCTGCGGGCCACAGCCAGTCTCCGTCAGGCTCTCAGTGTAAATCGCAGAGTCCCAGAGCACAAAGTCCCCGCCAAGCCCGGACGCCAGTGCTCCGGGGACGCTGAGCCCAGGTGACCCAAGAAACTCCCCTTTGTGGCCACGGAGCCTCTGGCCAGATTCTGGCTGGGGGGCCACCCTGGGCACCATGTCCTTTGTAGAATGTGCCCTTGGTGGGGTTTTTCCGAGTGTCACACAGGGCAGCCTCAGAAACGAATCTTTGTGGCCCTGGCTCCTGGACCCACCAGGGGGACCGGGAAACGCTTGGAGAAGTCACACCTGTTGCCTCAGCCCTGCGTGAGCCACCCTCCCAGCGCGCCCCGGCTCTTACCTGAGTGCCTCCAGGAGCCCGGTCCCCCAGCCAGTCACCTCTCCCTTTATATAGGGCGTGCAAACCACTCCCTCCACTGTCTCCCTCTCCCCAGCAGCCAGAGAAATGAAACCAGCCGTCCTGGGGACAGAAACGAAACCGGAGGTTCCACATGTTTGTGGATGACTCAACACAGTGGACCCTGGGGGGCTCGTGAACGGGGAAGGGGCTGGGTCCACCCCAGACCGAGACCGGACGCCAGGGCTCCGGGGTGCGTCCCTAATCCGCACTGCTAACAAGTTCTCATGGGAGGCTGGAGTCGGGCCCCCCTTGGAGATCCAGGGACTTAGGGCAGCGCCGTCCCGTGGGACCTTCTGCAGTGATGGAAACGTTCCATCCCGTGCTGTCCGATGTGGGCCTCATGAGGCCACCGAGCTTTGGCCATGTGGCTAGTGTGACCGAGGACCTGGGTGCCTTACTCTGTTTCATTCGAATTAACTGAAAGAGCCACTGGACGTCCGGGGCCCATTCCAGACCACGCCGGGGCACAGGAAGGTTACTCAAGGACGGGAGCTGAAGGTTCCCAGACGTCCTGCTGGCTTCACGCCTGAGCCGCACCAGACGGACGTCACCCTCTGTCACTTTCTCCCCTCGCTGAGTGCCGAATACCCAGAGAGAGGAATCCACAGCTTCCCACAATAGCTCTTCCGGGCATCGCTCCTGTCACACTCGGGATGGCTCCCCAGGCCTGGGGGGTTCTCGCCGTGCCCCACGGCTGTGACGGGAAGAGGGCGGGGCCCAGGCGGACGCCAAGTTCCACTCTAGGAATAGAACAGAGCCAGCCCAGGCTGCCAAAATGCAGGAAACCCCCAAGGCTTCTCAAAGCTCCCCATTCCGCTGCCCGCTCTACGCCTGGGTGCGGGTGATCTAGGCATCCCCACCCCGACTCCGGGACCCCGGGCCTGTGCAGGGTGGAGGAAGCAGGCGTCCGTCTCGTGTCCACCCCCACGATCCCCTTTGAAACATTATAAATCAAGGAAAAACAATCCCGAGCCCCTCTCTGCTCATTCATCTTACTTCCTGCCCTTAAAGGAGGAATTTAGAGGCTTAAAAATATTTTTAAAACCCTGAGATTAGGGGGTCACGGGATGAGTCTTCAGGGTCCGTGTGGACAGGATCCAACATTGACCACGTGACTCCCGAGTGTGGGGCGGGCGATGCCGGGGACGGAGCAAGGAGCTGGCCGCCACTGCGTGGTGTGACGGCGCTTCTTCGTCCACCGACGTCTTATGTAACAGGCGGGGGACACACCTACTACTCCAGGGTTAAAAGAAAACCATCACATTCAACTGAATACATTGAAAGATCAAACTGGCTGTGTCTAACAGTCTGTGGATAGGGCGGCACCCCCGCTAGCAAAGGGAAAGGAGCCCTGAGTTGCGAGACCGGATGGGGGTGCCGATGGGAAGGGGTCCGTGGGGCGGATTCCCACGCTGCGCTAACCAGGGAGCCCCCCACGACCCTCTAAGGGTTGCCTTATCGCGGGGAGGGACTGAAGTTCGGGTAGGGACTGAGCCTCGGCTTGGTGACGGGGTTTAGCACAAGTGACTCTATTTGGGGCCCATCGTTTCTTTTTTCTTCTTTAACAAAGGCCCCATTGAAGCTGGACAGGGCAATGCTTGCTCATGGGGAGGCAGCGGCAATGGCTGGGGGACTCGCCATTCCTTCCCACGCACGTCATCTCAGCGGCCTCTCCAAGAGGGGCCGGTGTCACCCGCACACTCAGACTTCCACCATGGGGTCCCTGCCACCGGTGGATGGTGGCCAGCCCTGGGAAGAAGCATGGTCAGCTGCACCAAAGTGCTGTGCGTCCACGCAGCCCCGGCCATCAGCGCCGGAGTGCGCCCGCCCTCGGTGGCCTGTCCTTCTGGTCTGTGTCCTCAGTGAAGCGGAGGGCGCCGTGGGGTCCCGTGGACAGGGGACAGGCAGTGGGTCTTCTCTGCGTGTTTGTCCCAACAGCGCGTGCACGTCGGGGTGCAAGCCCACTGACTCCTCTCTGGGCCCCACTGCTCCAATGGCGGTGACGTTGGTGACCCTCGAAGCAGAGTGGGTGCCAAGAGTGACGAACGCGGGTCCAGCCCCGGCTGGCTGGGCGCAGGAAGGCCATGTCGGGCGTCCTGCATGGTGCCTGCTGGGGGACGGGGCAGGGGGCTGGCAGTGCGGATGCTTTTGGGCTGGAGGCAGAGGCCACGCAGGGGCGGGAGTGTCTCAGCCGGTGACACCGGTTCCGCACTCAGGAACAAGCTCTATTATTCATGCTGTGGTGTTGAAAGTCCAGGGATCTTGGTTATAAAACTGTTGTTGATCGCGATCAGGAAAGGTCCCATGGGTCTTGCCTCCCCCCAGAGCAGGAAGCTAGAGGCCCTGTCTGTGGGAGCACAGCTGTCTGGGGGAGCAGAGCGACTTCCACGCCCAGCTGTGCCGTCCCTCGGAGCTGGGGGCAGGGAGGGCTGTGGGGAAGCTCCTGCGGGCTCCGCCCCACAGACGCTGGGCCTTTAGGCCACTGGAGGGGGCTTGTTGCCCACCGAAGGTTTGTTCTTCTCGGCAGCTTCCTTCCTTCCTTCCTTCCTTCCTTCCTTCCTTCCTTCCTTCCTTCCTTCCTTCCTTCCTTCCTTCCTTCCTCCCTCCCTCCCTCCCTCCCTAACAGCCATTCCAGTGGGTACGAAGTGGTATCTCGTTGTTTCTTTTTTTTCATAATAGACTTTACTTTTGTAGATCAGGTTAGGTTCAAAGCACTACTGAGCTGAAGGCACAGAGTCCCCATACTCGCCCGACCCCACTGACATACAGCCTGGCCTGCTGTCGACATCCGTGACAGAGGGTGCACATGCCACGATCGATGAGCCCGCAGTGACAGGTCCCATGCCCCAGAGCCCACAGTTTACAGGAGCGCTCAGTCTCGGTGTCACGCGTTCTGTGGGTTTGGGCACATGTGTAACGACATGTGTCCACGTCACAGTGTTACAGTCGCCCTGCCCTGGACATTCTGTGCTCCCCCTGTTCAGCCCTGCGTCCCCCCGACCCTGGCCACTGGTGCCCGTGTTCTCCCTATCCTGCTGCTTTTCAGCGATGGGGCAGATGTTCCCAGCTGGACTCTTCACGGCATCTGGAACCCAGGAAGGGAACCGGTTACTGCCTGACGCCTGCCACGGGGCCTCCCGGGGGGTTGGGCAGGGGCAGAGAGCCAAGGACGAGGCGCCCTCCCTGCTTCTGGTCGGTCTCTAGGCTCTGCAGGCAGAGCTCTGAGCTCTGGGGCACGGAGCAGGCCACTGTGCGGGGCTGGTGGCAGAGAGCTGGTGGCGGGAACCCTGCCCAGTGGTGACAATGTGTGGATGGCGTCCCATTGAGATTATTGATGGCTGTACATTCAGAAATGTTAGACCTGATCTGCTTTCAAAAGAATCTCCAGCCTAAACCACACGCCAGCAACTCTAGGAGAAACCGCAGAGTCAGACATATTGGGGAAGCCATTCTACTGATCGCCAGTTTAGTTAATGGAATAAAATGGAAATGTGGGCAGGAAACACAAACCTGGAAAAGAAACATCGCCAAGGCCACCACTGAGGAAGATGTTTTCAGTGAGGTCTCTACTGGGTGACATGCGTTCCAAGCTGTCCAGGTGAGCAGCCGCAGGTGGCGGCACGCTCCCCCTCCCCCCAGCCTCCTACCTCCCCACCCCGCATCGCTCCCAGGGGGAAACGTGTCTCCGCACTCAGTGCCCAGGTGGGCAGGAAACAGGACATGGCGATTCAGAGTCCCGCCCTGGCAGCAGGGGCGAAGGGCCCAGGACTGTCACAGGACGGGAGTTGGGGGCGTCACAGGTGCTTCCCATCCCCAGGCCGGCCCAGGGCTGCCCCTGGGGCTTCATCGGTCACAGCAAGTTAAGATCAACAGGGCTGAGAAAATGTGGTAATTTCAACCAGAGGGAAAAAACCCGGCTCCCCCTCATTTTTTGAAAATATGGGAATAGCTATGGGTACCAAAGAGTTGAGAGCCCAAGCAGAACTCTGTTGGTATCGCGAGGTGACCTCACAGAGCACCAGCAACCGAGTGGCTTAAACTAAACATCCTGTTTCTTTCACAGCTTTTAAAGCCGGAAGTCCAAGGTCAGGGTGCGGCAGGGCTGTGCAGCCTCTGAAGGCTCCAGGGACCAATGTCCTAGGCCTCTCCCCCCATTCTGCCTTCATTTGCACGTGGCCTCTCCCTACGGGCCTGTCGTGTCCTAAGTTCCCCTTTGCATGAGGGCGGGCCAGGCCAGCTGGGGGCCACCTCGCTCTAACTTACTACAGCTGCAAAGATCTTATCTCCAAATGAGGCCACACTTTCGAGGTGCTGGGGTTAGGACTCAACTGACGAATTGCGGGGGCACAGCATGTAGCTCATACTGGGGCCTGAGCCAAGATCCCACGCACTGGGGAGGGGGAGATCTGCAGGGAGGGGACCCGAATCCCTGAGGGACCACGGTCCCGGGCAGAAGGCCAGCAGGCCCCTCCTCTGTGGCGCCGAGCGTGGCTTGGCTGCTAATGCAATGTCATCGCATTTGCGGCTCACAGATGCTTTCCTTTTCCTGTGAGAGGACGGGTACCCCGCCCCCACCCGCCACAGTGCTGACGTGCCCCGGCTGAGCCCGACAGCCGCATCCGAGGAGCGGGGGCTCGCGCCACGTGCTGGCAGGGGCTCTGGTGGGGGGCGGCGAGGGTTTCCGCCATCTCCGGCTTCCCTGCCTGGGGGGGACCCTGCTCTGGCCTGGCCCCCAGTCCCAGGGCCCAGCCACAGCCGACCTGGGGGCCACGGGCAAGCCGAAGGAGAAGCCAGCGCTGTGGTGGCCCCCGAGTTCTGGGGGGCGAGGATGCCGAGATACAGGACGCCATGCTGCCACGTTTCTAACGGGCCCTGCTGGGTAAAGGCGCTCGAGCTCGTTCATCTGTCCCGATTCCTCCGTCTCACACATGAGGACCCCGAGGCTCAGGGAAGCAACATGAACCTGCCATCGAAGCCCCCTAGCTTTTCGGGGGGCCAGGCTTAGCAAGACGGGTAGCGTGAGTGCTTGGCAATGACGCGATGATCTTAACCTGGGATCAGAGGCATCTTGGACCGTGGGCGTCTGGGCTGCATGGCTCTAACGACGGGTTCCTGGAGAGGCTGCACAGTTGTCCTCCAGAGGCCCGACCCTCCTTGCCCCGTCATTAAACAGGGGGCTCCCCATCCTATTAAACAGGGGCCGGCCACTGGAGCGACGCCCCTGCGTGCATTCACCACCGCTCTCCTGGCGGCAGAAGGTGCCTAGATCTCTGTAACGAGAGAGCAAGTTCACGGCCGCAGGAAGAGTTCGAGGCTGGCCAAGCCCTCTGACTGTCTGTCCGTCACTCTCCCGAGAGACGAGGGTGTGCTCGGCGGTAATGGGGTAAAGCTTTCTCTGCAGACCCGTCTGGACTGCGGGTCAAACTCAGACCTGATTACAGAATGGCTCCACACCCGGGGCCGCAGCGGCTCCTGCCCAGACCCCTCCCTTCTGGGGTGAACCCCTGTTCTCTTTACCGATTTCCGCTCATCTCAGCCTTCCTGCTGGTTAATATCGCCGCCATATAAATGTTGGCATAAAAATACCATGTGCCCAAGATCCTACACAACTAGCAAATACTGGCTGGTTGACACAAACCCCCCACATCGGCACTGACTGTTGGATAAGATTCCATGATGCATTTGCCTATTTTTTTTTTTTTTTTAAAAAGACACATTTATTAAGGCTGCTCAACATCAGTGTGGCCCTTCCGGTACGCAGCCCTCTATCTGTACCTCTGCGGGCCAGCCCGAGTACCTGTTCTCTGCTTTATTAGAGTGGTTGATCTGTGTAAAGGAATGAAGAGACAATTATTTGTTAACCAACAAATATTTAACGTGTCAGTTACGACCAAAGTCCTATAACGAGAATCACTCCCTAGAACGGAGTTTGCTCCAACCCACACTGGGGGCTTGATTTCCTCTCGATGGGCTTCTTAATACTATTTGAACCAGGTGTTGATGCAGTTCTAGAATTTTCTGTGATGCTGTAAGTATTCTATGGTCGACACTGTCCAATAGGGTAGCCACTAGCCACGTTAGGCTATCGAATACTTGAAATGTACCTAGGGTGACGGATGAACCGAATCCTAAATTCCATTCGATTTTAATAAATTCAAATGTAAATATAAATTTGGCCAGCGGCTGCCGTACTGGCCAGCAGAGCTCTAATGTTTAGTTTTCAATTCTTGGCAGTAGGACTATTTTTTTTTTTTTAAGGTAACTGCAGAATTCCTAGCCCAGCACAGGTGCGTTCAGTCCTTTATGTCCTCAACCTTTCACAAGTAATGGAGCACCTTAACTCAATGCCGAAAAAGAATAATGTGCATTCTCAACTTTGAAATTCTTGTTCTATATCCTTTTTTATATAATAGCTCTGAGACATAATTTGTATACAATAAAATTCAGCCGGAGTGTATGATTTAGTGGTTTTTCGTGTAGTCACAGAGATATGCAACCATCCCCAGAACAAGAAACCACACACGCATTGCAGTCACATTCCCTGCCCACAGCCCTAGGTGCCCACTTGTCTGCTGTCTGTCTCTGTGGCTTTGGTCTACTCTGAAAATTTCATTTGAACGAAATGAAGAGCACGCGGCCTTTTCTCCACTTAGCATATTTTTGAGGTTCATACTCCTTGTGGCCAGTATCAGCGCTTCATTTATTTATATTGTTGAATAACATTCCCGTGTGTGGCTATACCACATTTTATTTATACGTTTTTTTTAAAAAATCCATTAATAACACATTTTATCCACGAGTAGTCACTTTTTTGGCTATTACGCCTGATGCTGCTAGGCGGGTTCATGTGCACGTTTTTGCGTGGACGTGCATTTTGACTCTCTCGAGTGGACATCTACGAGTGGGATCGTGAGGTCACGTGATAGCCGTGTGCCTTTTTGAGAAAGTGCTGGATTGTTTCCCAAAGCAGCTGTGTGATTCCGTTTCCTGCAGCAGGGTGGGAAGGTTCTAAATCCTCCGCATCCTTGTCAACACATCCCATGACGTCTTTGTCATCACAGTCACCCTGGCCATGGCGAGCTGGCATCTCACTGTGGCTTTTATTTGTGTTTTCCTGATGGCTAATGATCAGCATCTTTTCGTGCGCTTATCGGCCATCTGTATCTCTTCCTCGAAGAAATGTTTATTCGGATCCTCCGCCCACTTTAAATTGGGTCATTTGTTGTTTTATGATTGAATTATAAAAGTTCTTTTCATATTCTGGGTACGAGTTCTTCCTTTGCAAATAGTCGTTCCCATTCTGTGGGTTATCTTTTCATTTTTGATGGTGTCCTTTGATGCACATAAGCTTTAAATTACCATAAAATGCAATTTATCTCTTTTTGTTGTTGCTGTCTGTGCTTTTGGTATTATATCTGAGCAACCATTGCCTAGTTCAAGGTCACGAAGATTTGTGGCTATGTTTTCTTCTAAGGGTTTAATGGTTCTAGCTCCGACAGATAGTCGTTTGACTCGTTTTGACTTAATTTCCACATACAGCATGAGGTAGGGGTCCAAATTCATTCTCCTGCATGTGGGTATCCAGTTGTCTGGGCACCACGTGTTGAAAAGACTGCTCATTTCCTGGTAAGTGGTTGTCGAAAATCACTTGACTAGAAACATGTGGTTTTATTTCTGGACTCTCGATTCCGTTCCGCCGGTCGACATGCCCGCCTGACGCCGGTGCCGCACCGTCACGATTACTGTAGCTGTGTAGCGAGTTTTGAAATTGGGAGGTGTGAGTCCTCTAGCTTTGTTCTTTCTCAAGATCGTTTTGATTATCTGGGTCCCTCGAATTTCCATGTGAATTTCGGGACGAGCTTGTCAGTCTCTATCGAAAAGCCAGCGGGCATGTGGGTGTGCACGTGGAGCGAGCGGGCTGCCACTTCCTCATGAAAATCGAAGCCATGGGCCCACCCTCCCCGAGCATCAGAGTCCCCGGCCTGGGCATCCGTGCGTTTTAAGGAGGCGCAGGGCGGGAGGACAGTTGGGTGGCCCTGTGCGGAACAGCGGAGGACTTGCCGGTCCTCGCCCAGCCCCTCAGTGCCTGTTGCTCTCACTTCGTCCTCACTGGCTCCGATCGGATAGGTACTGTCTTATTCTCTTATCACAGGGGAAGGCTCTGAGGCACAGAGAGGTTCAGTAACTTGCCCGGGACCACACAGCCGGGCGGACAAAGCACAGTGGTGTACGAGGGGTGGAGAAGGTGACCCGTGTTACCACCTGGAGTCGGCCTGGGAAACTCAGGGGTACCTGGAGCGCACGCCCAACCACAGCTGCGGGGCCCTGAGGAATTACCTAGATTCTGCGTCATTGCCCGGATCAGGAAACTGAAGCCCAGAGAGGCAAAGTGCCTTGCGCGGGGTCACACGTGGTTCCTGCTG